TAGTGAAGATTGTCCACGCTCAGGCCGACGCTCTCAGGTTAACGGGGTAGTGAAGATTGTCCACGCTCAGGCCGACGCTCTCGGGTTAACGGGGTAGTGAAGATTGTCCACGCTCGGGCCGACGCTCTCAGGTTAACGGGGTAGTGAAGATTGTTCACGCTCAGGCCGACGCTCTCGGGTTAACGGGGTAGTGAAGATTGTCCACGCTCAGGCCGACGCTCTCAGGTAAACGGGGTAGTGAAGATTGTCCACGCTCGGGCCGACGCTCTCAGGTTAACGGTAGTGAAGATTGTCCACGCTCAGGCCGACGCTCTCGGGTTAACGGGGTAGTGAAGATTGTCCACGCTCAGGCCGACGCTCTCAGGTAAACGGGGTAGTGAAGATTGTCCACGCTCAGGCCGACGCTCTCAGGTTAACGGGGTAGTGAAGATTGTCCACGCTCAGGCCGACGCTCTCAGGTTAACGGGGTAGTGAAGATTGTCCACGCTCAGGCCGACGCTCTCGGGTTAACGGGGTAGTGAAGATTGTCCACGCTCAGGCCGACGCTCTCAGGTAAACGGGGTAGTGAAGATTGTCCACGCTCAGGCCGACGCTCTCAGGTTAACGGGGTAGTGAAGATTGTCCACGCTCGGTCCGACGCTCTCAGGTAAACGGGGCAGTGAAGATTGTCCACGCTCAGGCCGACGCTCTCGGGTTAACGGGGTGGTGAGGATTGTCCACGCCAATATTGCGCGAAAGAGAGCCCAGAACGGGGGAAAATTATTGGCCAAATCGGCACCCAGGAACTGCAAGGGGAACAATACAACTGTTAACCACCACATGCATCGCCCACTAGACCGCACGGCACACTCAAGGGCAACGCAGACAATATTGATTGAAAAACTGCGGAGGGTGAGGGTGAAGCTGTGCAAAGAAGCGCCCCGTGCCGTCAAAGAGCGGTATCGAACGACCCCTCCGTGGTGCTGGGAAAAGAAGACATAGCCAGGGAGTTCCCTTGACTTGAACTCTATCGAAAATATGTGGGACATCCTGAAGGCGCGCCTCAGCGAGATGGACTCTTCTGGAGCGTCCCGATGTTGAAGGGAGACGGAGCGGGCGAACAACCGTCCTCCATGTTCTGCAGGCTTGCGAGTGACAAGGGAATATGATCGTCAAGTGTCTGGCATTAAATTGGGAGTACGACAGTAGGTGAAAACAAAATGCGACATGTGTTCTTGGTGTTTTTAAGATGATGGAAGGGCGAGAAATAATTTAACACCCTGAAGAATTCCTCGGATTGCCATTTCGAGTTTCGTGCTCAGTTCGGACATCCGCTACTCACCATCTTCCGATTCGAACCCCGGCGCCTAACGACCGAAACAAAAAACTCGACCAGGTCACACCAGTCCCTAATGGCCGTTAGCACGAAGGAAATAACCAGCAATGAATCACGGACCGGGTTCAAATGAAACTGAGGGATTTTTTGTACGTTCTAAAAACAATTGCTCGCGACCTTATTGCCAGTATGAAAGTAATTCTTAGTGCTATTAATTGAGGACTATCTTAGATTATGTGTAATGTGATCATATGACATTTGAACACATGCCCGTGTACGTCATGTATCCAGGCAAAAAACGGAAAAATTCAGGATGAGTATGCGGCATAATAATTGATGCATTCCCATTCCTCATGAACATACCCTCAAAATCGTAAGAATGCGTGCAATTCATTGAAAAATATCGATTACAAATTTGAAACGCTTTTACCGGCATGTCTGAAGTTGTTTTGGTAGATATTGGTGTTCCTTCCACTCTTTGTGGGTCGGTAATTATTGTCAGAAAAACGCCGAAAAGCTTAATACACGTTTAGGCCATCAACCCATGCAGATTACGTCATTACATGGATGATGCAGGTTTGTTGAAGTGAGTCGCATCCCTCTGTGTTTGCGGTGGAATTCATTCTTAATTTCTAGGCCCGGTGTACTGCTTTATTTGCCTCATTATTTCCAAACGTTAAATTCGCGAGCATCTTTTGTATGAGCGACATCGTCTCGTATATTGTTGTGCTGGAAAGGAATCTGGCGCGGCCGTAACCATTTCTCTAAAACTGTCTGTATCTCCCGTTGACTGGCACGCGGAATTTCTCCAGAGAACGGGCCAGATGCGAGATCGTAGTTGGAATTTTATCGCAGATTTTCAACGAGCACATGCTGTGCAGGTTCAGAATCAGACTTTCTGATCTTGCAGGCTCAAGCCAGCATACTTTTTAAGGCTCAGCTAGCTGCGATTTTTTCAGTGTCTGAGGATATCATTGACCACCCAGACCAAGACGCTTCTAATCTCGCTCTCCAATGACTTTAAGAAAGGGTCCGGAAATGCTAACCTTAAAATGCCAGAACAATACCGTCGTGGGCCGCAGACATTGGTAGGCCGTAGGTAAGCAGACAACAGGCACTGTAATACGCATAATGGTCAATATCCTGAAATATGGAAGGCCTGGGGATGTGAACAAACAGAGCACACTTTGATTTTTAGGCCGTGAACCACACACTGGATCAGCAATGTTCGTCAAATATTTCCGCATGTTCCAAGGGACGTATGGCAGCACCGTCTAAATAAGCTAGCTTACCACTGCAATAACACAAACGGGTTATCTTTCGCGACAGGAAAAAAGTATTTCATAGCCATGAATGGCGAATATACTGTCCCGGCACTGGAAACCAACTGGCCGGAGAGAGAAACGTACCGATTGCTCGAGTCTACCAGGAGATTACCCAATCCTTCTATTTGTGTTTGTTTGTGTACCTACCAGCTCAAGTTCCAAGAAAATGAATGCACTAAGTGCATACTCCCCGACTCACATGTTAACATTCCTCCGCCATATTGTGAATGTATGCAATAATAACACATGCAACCGACGCGACAGGAAAGATGCTGCACACCTCGCCATCGTCTGAAAACACACACACACACACACACACACACACACACACACACACACACACACACACACACACACACACACACACACACACACACACACACACACACACACACACACACACACACACACACACACCCACACCACACACCATGCGCACGAGAGAGCACGTACCGCCGCCAAACACAACCGCTATCGCCTGGACAAATGCCATAAATCCCATCATGGCGATGGTGAGTTGTGTGGCCTGGAAAATTCCCAAATCCGGTTTTGTCTTGATCCGAGCGTAGTCCAGGTTTTCTGCTCCGGTCCAGTCCACCTCACGGATGCATCCGTCACCGCGGATTTATCCGATCAGTAAGCACCCTGATGCCAGCGCCGAGCGGCCGTGTCCCCGGCGAGCTGCACAGAAGCAGGAGGGGTGAGAGGCGCAACTGCAGCAGCACGGCCAAGGCTAACCAGAGTTCACCAAAGCTAACCAAAGCTAACCAGAGCCTACCAAAGCTAACCAGAGTTCACCAAAGCTAACCAAAGCTGACCAGACCTCACCAAAGCTAACCAGAGCTCAGCGGCGGCAGCAGCTATGCGTCGTGGCCCGCGGCTCGTCTTCCGGAAGACTCTGTGGCCGGCGCTCAAATGATGAACGGTGACGGAGACGACATGGACGCAGCGGGCTGAGTGCGTTTGAGCCTCTGTTGTGCCGGGGTTAAGCTGCGGCGGGTCCCTTGCCAGTCCCGCCGCGCGCGCTGCATCAGCTCTGGGTTGAAGTTACTGAGGGGATACGCACCTTCCAACAGTACGCCCACCACCTGGGCTTGGCACTGGCGTTGTTCTCCTTGACGGTGCAAGAGGTGCCGCCGCTCACAGGCACCGGTGGCTGTGTGCCATCGGTTGTCATTCAACGAAGCTTATTTCACTGACTGGGAGCCGTGCAAACACACTATAGGAAAGAACCGCGACCGCAATTCGCGCTTATCTACGCCAGCGATGGGGCAGGAGTGGTGAACAGGGGGTGCATGAGGGCCGCCCCAATTGCCTTACCTTCTCCTCAAAAAACTTCCGTCTGCTAGAAGAAGAAACAACTTAGTGTCAAGTGCCGAGTGGGTGTGACCAGAGCGGTCGGCTACATCCCAGATACAAAATCAAGCATCAGCACTGCGACGCTGCGTGGAGAAAGCCGAGGCGCACATCGCCCTCTCCCCCAACAGCTCTTCAGAAGATTTATCGTCCCCGGGAGCGATTCGGTCGAGTCCGACGAGTTGAGCATTACACGTCAGGGTAGCGGCATGCTCAGCAGTTATCACTCCGCTCTCCGTATCCGTATCTCCGTATCTCCGTATCTCCGTATCTCCGTATCTCCGTATCTCCGTATCTCCGTATCCTGCACCCGTGTTTTGAGGTCAACTCACGTAGCACACATTTTTTTTGTTTTTTAGACCTCCCAGCACCTTAACTTCTGAGGCGGCAGCCCATCTATGTTGTCAATGGCTTAGCTCATTTGGCTGAAATCGCTGAAAAGACACTGAGTAGGTTGACAGGGCAGTTCACCTGATCAGAAATTAACCGATAACTCATTCTCAAAACCTTCATAAAACATCTATCTTCCCGGTACCTGGCATTTTCATGTAAATGGCACAGAAAGAGCCGCAATACAGCGGCGTGTTCTCTTCTTTGTGACTCTTAGTTCGGTGGGATCAAACGATAGGCAAGATCAAACGATAAATTGACTGAATTTGAGTTGCCAAAGCAATCTTCACCACGCCCCAATGTCACTTCAACAATCACCCAGTGGAGCGCGCAGGCCGCCCCAGTTCATAATGGAGCTCGAAAACAATGGCAGCATACTAAGATAGCTACCGTACTTCCGCTTTAATGGTGTCAGCCAAATAATCTTTCCCTTGCTTAAGTATACAACTGACATCGTTATAGCCACTTGGATAATAGCTTTGAGTACGTTCAAATTAGCATGCTGACAATAACCAGCAAACGTTTATAACACGCTCCCGGCGAGTGGCGCATCATTACGGCACTCCCGCCATAAGGCCCTTGCTACGCGCGGCCACCCGCCGGCAGATACTAACGATTCCGCGCTGGCGGGCTGAAGTCAGTCTCATGCCGGGGTGATGTCGGGCTGCAGCATTGCCTCCGGCCGGGCTTGGCAGGCTGGGAGCGCTGAGCGGCACTACCCAGCAGGCGCGGCGGCAGCGCCGAGCTGGTGCCTCCCCCGTCGGACGCCGTTGGATGAACACGTTGTCGGTCCGGCGGGCGAATGGTTTCCAGCGTCCCGCCGTGGCGCTGCTGCAGGCGTCGCCGGCGGCGCACAGCTGAGCCCAACCCCCGTTCACGGAGCCACCGGACAGCGCACACGCTGGCGCGTCCTACACTCCGCTTCGCGTCCACGCACCTGGCCGCTGAGGGGCATCCAACGGTCCGCGGCTCTCAGCGCTCCCGGTGTTCCACCGATATGAGACCCACTGAGGGTCGTCCGCTAATCGTCCTTCGCTTCCCGGACCAACCCAAGTGGATGCCCAGCTAGATGTAAGCGCCAATCATCCGCCTGGCCTCTGATCCCTCCCGGGGGCATCGCGGAGCATTCTGGCCCGGAATGCCTCGCACCCAGCCCCATTTTTGGGGTCGCAGTGTGTGGTGCTCCCACACGGTATTCGCTTTGGACTTCTGGCGACGCACAGCGACCATAAAAGTTTAGAGTGCTCATTATTCTGGCTGCGTAGTCGGCGGTCGGTGGTCCTGCGGCCAGGCTCGGCCGGGTCACTGGAGGCGCCGGACCCGCCTCGGAACTGTGTCACGGCAGTGGATCCTCCACGCGTGGGCGCCCCTGTGAGGCGCGACGCACGCTCCGACCCGAGCATGCCGTCTGCCCGGGCGCAGCGTTACCTGCTCGGACCTGAGCGGTCGGATCTGATCTTCTCGAACCTCAGCAGCCGCACCTGATCTGCTTGGACCTAAGCGGCCGGACCTGATCTACTCGGACCTGAGCGACCGGACCTGATCTGTTCGGACCTGAACGGCCGGACCTGATCTACTCGAACCTGAACAGCCGGACCTGACCTGTTCGGACCCGAACGGCCGGACCTGGTCTACTCGGACCTGAGTGGCCGGACCTGACCTGCTCGGACCTGATCTACTCGGACCTGAGTGGCGGGCAGTCTGACCCACCACCGCCGGCGTCGTCTCCCGCATCGCTCTGCGAACCGCTCAAAATCCGTCTCGCAACAGTTGTGGCCGAGTGACCGCTATTTTTTGCTGCTACTCGCTGACACTGGGCTTGGTCAATGGCACACGTCGATCCGGAGGACGAATTCTTTGGGTGATAGCGAGGTGTGGTGGAATGTAAATACTGAAAGCAGGGTTTTCTCCGCGAGGGATCGCAAAAAAGCGGCACAGCATGGGCGAAAGTGCCTTTGAAAGTGCCGAAAGTGCCTTTGAGGATTGGAACTCGAGCTGCCGCGTGACGTAACAGGACATGCATTCTTAGCTGCTCTGTTATGACTAAGCGTCCTTTGATCCACGAATGAATTTTGAGCACAGAGTGAATTTAAAAGCAGAGCCAAATCCAGATATACGATTCCGGGAAATATGAGTCATGGTATGAGCCATTTGAAAGGTGACATCAACCCCCCCCCCCAAAAAAAAAAAATATGGAGGGCTGTGGTAAGCTACAATGATGCGTCTAGCCTGCTTATTTGTTGTCAACCCCCGGTCTTCAAAGGAGGCTGTGTTTGGCTGCGCAAGGTGGTCCCGGAAAGCAGTGTAAAATGATCACCGTGGGATGCTCCAAAGTTACAAACCAAATCAACTGCCCTACTGCGACCGGCTCTCACGTAATGTAGGTCTGGCTTGTTCATTAACTTTCATCACACTTATCTAAGGGCCTTGGTACGTGCCGCTTTCCGCCTGGACATAGTTGCGTGGAAATGCGAAACTCATCCGTTTCAAGAGAGCATTTTCTACTGAGCATGGTATGAATCTCGTTCGTCCTCTGAAGTCTGTGGTCACGCATGCAGACAAGCCATCCCATGCGTGCTTGATAGTAACTTTGAGACCTAGATAAGACAGTAATATTAGCCTTATTCCTTGATAGAAAAACCAGGAGAATGGACATATAGTTGGGTTGATATGTCCGCAACGTGCCTTTATCGAAACAATAGCAAAAATGAATACTGAACACTTCTTGAACACTTCTGCTATTGTGAATATGTGAATGTGAATAATGCCCTTCGCTAAAGCACTGAACAACTTACGTAATTTTGAGACCATGCAAGTTTACCAAATGAATGTATATAAGCAGACAGGGACAAAAACATATCCTTCAGCCAGCGGCAGGTCCAGGATTTCGCCAATGGGGGGGAGGGGGGGGGGGGGGGGGGGGCACGCAGCATTGCGGACCTCTGCAGTCTGGGAGGTCTCCAAAAAGCTCTTGGATTTCGACCGTTTAACTTCAAGGTGCTCATGCATTTATTTTTAATAACGGACGTCATCTTCCTCAGCGCAGCCCCAGAAAACCAAATGAGGTTCGTATGTGCACACGTGGAGAGCGTTCATGTTCTCCAAATAGTGGTGAATTCTGTAATTTTGAGGCTAAGTGTGTCGGAAGACAGATAGCAAAAGGAGTTAAGACTCGCTGCTCGTGCCATCAAAGTCAAGCACGGAACTTGACTCCAAGGTCGGCTACGGCTGGGTAGCCTCCGGCGGCTAGTCGTAAGGTCGATGTGATTGGGTGATGGCTAATGGCTAATGCAGAGTTTTAGTTTTAACTGTATTCCAGGAGTTCAAATTATCCTAGCATTAAAAATGCATCAGGAACGTAATGCACACATGTGCTGAGTAGTGCACATTCAATAACCACGAAAATGACATATACGACGCTGGTCACGCAAAACATTACCTAAGGCAATTGAGTGCAAAAATGCATCTGGACATACCCGGTTGCTGCTCTCTGCGGCTACAGCGCTTAGGGAAATCGTCATCGTGTAGATCTCAGACCTATATGCATGAATAGACTTAGTCAGGCTCGTACACACAAGTAGGCGAAACAGAATGAGTGAAGAGACTTTTGGTGCTCACAAACACAAGTGGGGTTTTCGGCAGCAGAGTAAAGTTCTCCCGACTTCTGACATTTTGGGAAAAGCCCTCAGCCAATGTAGAGGGCCGCCGAACATCAAGTACCCCGGTTTGTTGTTAACTTATATGGGCCGCAAGAGAAACACAGGACCCACCATAACATATGGGGCGCACTGGAACACAGTCTACAGCCCTTTGGGCTGTTGATCGTTTTGGATATTTGGACGGCGTAATGAGCCTTAAAAGCCTTGCTAATCAGCACCCTCACAGGAGTAATTATTTTTGTCTGTTCGTAGGCCCTTCACTTTTGCTTGCGACTGTTCTTGGACGTCTGGGGACCCGAAGGTGTCCAATTTTGTTGCGTTTGTTAAAACACCACATCCGTTCGACCGGTCGTGACCCCCTCCAAATGCTATGGGGCCCCGACGGGGTCCTGGGTGGAGGGCATTGACCTGGTGCCCCCGTCCCCCTCTGGATCTGCCACTGTTTTAGCCGGATTCCACGCCTGAGTTCGCCCAGCGCTCGCTCAGATACTCGTGCAGCTCACTGAGCATGCGACAGCCTAAGCAGAATAGCAGCAATGCCATTCAATTCCAAAGTCAATGACAGGCAAGCTGAGCAAGAACAAAAGCCGGTCAAACATCGCAATCGCTTGAAGTAACTGCCACGCGTGCTCCTGAGATAATGCTTGCGCTGACGGGACTCTGCATCAGCTCGCAGTCGACTGCGAGCTGGCTGGCTGAGAGGTAACCATCTGGTATTTCAGCAACGCGAACTGGTTATGCCAAGATATAGCCAGTCTAGTCAATGGTAGATGACATTTATGTCTGCTTTTTCATTTCAGTCAAACCGCTGTCATAGTACTCCCAAGCACGTATTTGTTCTAGTGAACTTATAGCTTGCCAAAACAACGCTGATGCTGAATTGCGGTGATAAGTAGAAGACGTTAAATAACACTGCATTCAACGATCTATTTGCAAGATTAAACCGTAGCCCAGTAAGACACACGCACTGACTATAGGCCACCTTGGCCGCGTAAGAGGACATGGCCCGGATCACAAAATGTCAGCATATGTAAACAAGGAGCATGGCATAAAACAACGCAAGTTTCGTAAGGCTAGCTTCATCGTTTCTCCAGCTACGCCGCAGGCTGTTTTGATGACGGGTAACTCCCACAACGCCCCCGCCCCCCCCCCCCCCCCCCCTCTCACTGCAAAGGCAAGTCCGCGGATGGTTGAGGACTTCACTGCAACACATGATCAGCGCAGGAGGTACGACGAAGCGTCACCCTCGATAAGTGACACGAGAGCCGCATCTCTAACATTCCTACAACGTCGCGCGTCACATGCCTACATTCCATCCAGGAAAAACCGCGAGGTTTCACACCAGCCAGCCAGCCGAGTGGCGTCTGGGGCGAGGCGTGGATAGTGACGCGTCACGGGCCGGCCCGCTCGTCGATCACGACGCTGCGGCGGCTGTCAGGGACGCGTCGGCGCCGTCGCCAGCCTACGCCCGTCACGGTCCAGATCGGCCGACAGGCTGGGTCAAGTCGTCTGGCGGCGGCGAGCGATGGCCGGCCGACGATGCAGCTGGGACGGGCCGCTCCGGCCGGCACGCCGCCGTCTGCCCGGCAGCTGTGCCCCACCGTCTCGTGCTGGCCAGCGCGCTAAGAGGCTGTGCTCTGCGCCGCAGGTGCAACTCCCGGAACGTGGAGACGGGACACAGCCTGTGTTGAGACATCCCAGTTCGTTGCAAGGGGGCTCGCCAACTGAAGGAAGAGTACCATGGTAGAGTACCATAGAAGACTACTGTGGTTCATGAACCATATCGTAAACCACGGATTTGCGATTGTACAGCTTGTAAGTTGGCACTTTTCCACGCCCACCGAAGGGAAAATCCATGTCGTGACAAGTCTGCGAGCTGACAACCACAGCGAGAATGCGACCCGCAAACCGGACCAACGATACTGGGTCAGTGGTTGCGAAATTGTAGAGTTGGAAAGGAGAAACAAGTGGTCAAGCCGATCACATTCGTCTAGATTGGACTTTGGGTGCATTCGCAGCGACTCCGACGACAAGAAATCTATGATACCGACGTCATTAATGTCACTATACCCCATAGATTCTGGGCCTTTTGGTGTTAGCAGCTTCACGGGCAACGAAGATTGTACGTCACTGACGTCACGTTAAGTCTTTGCGGACGCGCAGAATCTTTTTCCACGACTTGATCGAAGTGGGACGAAACTGGTGCGACATATTCAATTATAACCAAATCATTTCATTCACTCTGGGTCGACACGGGTTATAAAGACATAATTTATGCGGTACAAACAGCATCATTTGCAGTTGTCCATTGCCAGGAGCACGCTTAGATGAACAAACGGAAATATCAGTGTCTTGGCAGGCGCAGTTATGGCCACGACATTCACGAAGATGTTGACGAAAGGGTGTCGCGCTGCGAATACGTCCGACAAGTATTTTGCGTGACGTCACGTAGAATCGAACATTTTTGGTGCGCTGCGGATACGCTGAGTTTACTGAGTAGCATCTCGGAGCACTGGACGCTAGTTCCTATGATGCCACCCTGCCGACAGCCTCGTTCATAGTACCGTTGCTGATCATCATATCACTTTGCTGGCCACCATACCACTGCCAGTTCATATGCCATGGAGGTATTACAGCTCACAAAATACCGCCTCATGCTACGCGGCTGTCAGCTGCGGCGCCTGGCGTTGGACTATGGTCGGCTCCGGCGCCAGGTCGTCAGCGAGCTGCGCCGAGCCGACGACAGGGCCGTCATGTGCTCTCCAGCCGCCTGCAGACTCTCCCGGCGCCCGCCGACTCGAGTGACCGGAGCATCCGCTCGCCAGCCGGCCGCGTCCACAATCTGGGGTGACTTGCTGCCAGCAGCGAAACCTGCCGCCCACGCCGGTCACGACTGTGACGTAACGCTCCAGCGGCGCCGCGCCGGCGCGCCGTCCGGCGGCGGGGACTGCGCCGATTCAGGTGACTCAGGAAAAACAGGCGCTTGTGCGGAGCCAACGGTGACAGCGGCGAGTCCTCGCCTCCGGCATGGCCGCGCCGCAGTCTCCGGCGTTGTGAGCCATGACGCTGTCCACGCGACGACGGACGGCGGCTGCCACTTCCAGACGCATCACGCGCAGCTCATTGGCGGTGTGTACTCCCGCTGCGCTGGGGTTAGAATACCCCCCCCCCCCCCCTGTCAGTTTTCACTGTGAACATGCGAGATGGTGCTCACCTCTCACTGCGGAGTGCCGCTCGGAGGTGCGAGAGGAATGTTCCGGCGACAGAACTCAGTGTCGCATCCATTGTCACAAGGACAACGAACAACGAATGCATCAGGCTTGTGCCGGGTTCCCAATATTTCTTCCCGGGAACGGGCTCCTGGCTTCTGGTTCCGAAACCAGGAAAAATCCAGGAAGCACTCTTGAACTAGGTCGAAGGCACACATAGGAACTAGGATCCTGCCTCATATCAAACCCGAAGGTCCAACAGCAGCCAGGATTCAGCCTGACAGCATGCCGGAGAACCTAGCAAGAATCAAGATCAATCCGATGCCAAGTCAAGGGAACCAGCAAGAGCAAAGATCCAGTCTAGCACTGCGTCGAAAGATTCATCAAGAAGCAAGATTCAGCTTGAAACACGAAGAGATCCAGCAAGAACCAAGATGCAGCTCAGGATTAAGCTGAAATCCGGCAACAACCAATATCTAGTCCGGAGTGATGCTAAGGCGGCATAAGAACCAGAGTCCTACCTGAGACTCTTGACAGCCTTGACTCTCTGGGTTCAGCAACGTATTCCTCAGGGACACAATCTTTCAAAATATTTTGGAAAGAAAAACAGGAAAAATGGTCAAGCCTGACCCATTTTTAGAGTTGGATCGGCTGAGGCCACCCAACAATATGAAATTGCACCCCTGGTGTTTGCTAATGAAAACAAATTAGAAAAATGTGCAATGACTATTTCAGAAAGCTCTCTCAAATTTCAATTGCTAAATGCAACCCTGTCACAGTGAGATTTTGCAAACATCTGCCACACTTTTGGATACTGAAACATGCGAGTGCACGCATGTGAATTTGACCATTTCATTTTTTAGTGTGCATCCAATCTTGTAAAGCAAAATTTCTGAATACATTGGAAGTTGCTGCTTCCCTACAATAACCTCAGTTTTGCCGAAATAATCGTTTCTTTGCTCTGCAATCGGCTTGTCAGCAAGTTCCCCCTTACCAGCGACTGTCATGTAAGCTTTTTTCCAACCCATAAGCCCTCAACAGCTACAAACACAGGTGATCGCAAACTGGGTTTGTCAAAAGAACCAGTATGAACCAGAATCCAGAGTTTATTCCGTCGAAAGAACCGGTGGGAGCCGAGATCCAGGGTTTTGCTTCCTTGAAGAAACCGATGAAACTAGCAATCAAAATTGGGAACAAGATGCATGTCTGGGATGTTTTTATTCTGCAACAAAACATAAGATATGGTCGTAATATGGTCATATATATGATATAGGCCCCATCATATCACCGGACTGGTGTTAAGCGGACATACGTCAACAGAGGGCAGTCGGCGCAGCGAACGTGAGATGAGCCGGATAGTGTACGTCAAGATACACCCCACCGCCACTGATCTGAAAGGTGATTTACGAGCCACGCACCACAAAATAAATCTTCACACCTTAATCGATTTCGTGTAATTATCTCGGCGGAGATAAGGTTCGGATACTGCTTTGACGGTTCACTCAGCATTTCTTTCAATGCCTCCAGCCAGTAGTGATGAACACCGCGCTTATGTAACTCGGCATGTTTTTCGCTACTGGCATTCGCCTTTCGACTCTTTCCGCTACACTATCATACATTGTCCGTGACGCCCCACAAATGGTGCCAAGTCATCACTACTCGATGTTGGCGCCAGACGTCATGCGACGCTTTTCCATATACTGCATGCACGCACGCGAGTGCGCGTGCACACCGTCAGAGGCAGAAATGCTTTCGACTTCGGCTCATGCCATACCTAAATGAAATTGCATTCATTGATAGCGAGTAACGCACTGCTTCTAGATTTTCCTGGCTGCTATGTTTCAATGGAGTCTATCGTGAAATAACTTCGCTTAACCTTTTATCCTGTAGGAGAAGTTTGCTCCAGAAGAACCCCTACGTTATAGACGACCGACGCGAAGCTGGACACCCTATTTTCAATTTCCGTGGCACTTAAATATGCACAAATACTTCTCCGGGGCTGGGGCTCGTTTCCGGATTCCGATAAATGCGATGAAATCGTCATGGTATGCTTGAGGGTTCGAGAGAGTATGCCACATTTTTTGTACTTTGCAATTATTGTTTAGATCAAACGCATCCGATTTGATTAGAGATGCCAGTTTTCTAGAAGTCCTGAATAGCCCAACAATTATTTGAAGATCTGTGTATTTTTATTTTTTGAAGATTTATGCAACATTTATACAACATTTATTTTAACGTTATTATTTGATTTATATCTATATTTCTCCCTGCAGGAGAAATTCGTTTTGACGCCCATACCATTATGAAAGTAATACATTTCATTTGCCTTGCTTTTCCACATGTGTGTACTGCAATGTTCGCAACACATTAATTTGTCAAAATGTTTGTATAATAAATGTTGGGAAGCTTGAAACACTCTGTTTAGACAAAAAAGACACGCGAGCATGAAGCTTTTGTACCGCGTAGCATGACTGATTTCAGCCCTCCTCCCCATGTCATTTAACGTAGTGACTTTTCAAGGTACAATTTGGCTTGGAGAAGAGGAGTATGACATGATTTAAAGTGACGCACTAATTCAAACTTCAACCATATGTTTCTCAGAAATGGGCCTTTCCCGTCCACTGGACCAATCACGAACGCTTTTATTTTCCCTAGTAGAGGTTGTTGTCGCTGAAAAATTGTAATCTTTGGTCCGGCTGCAAACACTCTCGACACGCGTGCACACAAACCTGCGCTGAAGTGAAATGATCCGGTGGGGACCTGAATGAATCAATCCAATATATAATCCGTTCCTAAGATATACAGGGCGACATCAATGCCCCTTCCCCAAGTGGGCGATGTAAGTGGCCAGTACCCCAGGAGATGTATGGTTGGAATTGTACAAATTGAAGATGCCAGGTCAGTGTCGTATTCGGCGGGGCATGTATATGTCTATGCATGTCAGTCGTTCCGGTGCTTGTGTGGAGGCCGGTCATGAAATTGCTCAGTACCAATGAAAGCCGATTAGCCAGCGGACGATATTTGGTTCTTACAGCGAGCAGAGAAAGTGTGCTGCGCTGAGCTGTCCACACTGCTGTGCAGCTGTGCGAAAATTCGTGCAACAGCCCAGCCATTAAGAACATCTTGTTGCTCGAGCAGCGATACCGCGGGGATCACCACACACGAGTCGATGCAGCAACACGGGTGGCGGCACCACCAGCACCAACGACGGCGCGGCTTTGTGCGATGAAGCAAGCGGAAGCCGCTTGTCTAAGCAAATATATTTTTCTAAGCAACTAACGCGCCTGTGTCTGTCTGTGTACAATTTTTATTAGCCAGATGCACAGCATAAACTGTGGACCAGACCGACATCCAGTTTGAAGGTACAGGTGCAATCCTCGTAACGATCCATGACATAAACTCATGACATAAATTCACACCGCTTCGATATCGGTATCGATCAAAACGCGTGCTAGGGGTAGGAGGCAAGTTTTAATGCCGTCAAGTTCGAACAACCAGAAATATAACGTTTCCACAGACAGGGACTGCCCCTTAATGGGAAGTCCCTCCCTGTGGCAGCAAACTATCCCTTAATGGGAAGTCCCTCTCTGTGGAAGTAAAAGCCTAGCTACGACAAACTAGTTATGACAAACTGCGCATCAGTGGCATGTAAACCAACCTTTGGTGGCTAGAGGCGGTGCTATGTCGACACCAACGCGTCCATCATCTTGCAGCAGAGGATACGGGAACCACGGACACTGAATGATACACATTTAAAGTCGTAAGTGTGCGGAACACTGTTGCAAGGTTGATGTGTCCATGCGATCCATGAGTACTTGCCAACGTTCACTGAAATCCTCTTCTTACTGGTAAGGCAGGAGCTCCACAATAAGTCGTCGGTGGCGTCGCGTCCAGCTCTAAACGGCGTTATCTATTCGCAGGGCAAAGGTAAGACCCGATTGTCCAAACTACTTCGTTTGGAAGCGCCATCTGTCCCTGACAACACTGCTCCACAAAACCGTCATCACGAGGAGAAATAGACGGCCTGAGGACCCATGCCCGACTGGTTCCGCCCTCCTCCTGTCCCTCACTCCTACTTGTTTCGTCCTTGACCCTTTCCAGGACCCGATGTTGTCCCGGAAGAAGCTCTTCGGATCGGTTCGTGGCGGGCTGGTGAGGCCGGGTCCGCGGCGGGCTGGTGAGGCCGGGTCCGCGGCGGGCTGGTGAGGCCGGGTCCGTGGCGGGCTGGTGAGGCCAGGGTCCGTGGCGGGCTGGTGAGGCCGGGTCCGTGGCGGGCTGGTGAGGCCGGGGTCCGCGGCGGGCTGGTGACCGGGTCCGGTGAGGCCGGTCCGCGGCGGGCTAGTGAGGCCGGGTCCGCGGCGGGCTAGTGAGGCCGGGTCCGTGGCGGGCTGGTGAGGCCGGGTCCGTGGCGAGCTGGTGAGGCCGGGTCCGCGGCGGGCTGGTGAGGCCGGGTCCGTGGCGGGCTGGTGAGGCCGGGTCCGTGGCGGGCTGGTGAGGCCGGGTCCACGGCCGGCTGCGGAGGCCGGCCCGCCTCAGAGGCACGGGGCGGCGGCCCAGGAGAGCGGTCACGGCAGACAAGCTCCACTGGTTATGCGGAAATGATAATGACCGAGTTACATTAAAAGCGTGACTGGCTGTTAGGAAGGCCAGTAGACTAAAATCTGCGATGACTCACGATGCCACGGGAGGTCGCCGCACAACGGATGTCATATCCCCATTTCATAGAGATATCCCACACTACCATACACACATGTATTGAGTAGAGCTTGGTTTCGTTAGGCACTACGCTTATGACATATGTCTTGAACCATCATTATGTTTTAACCAGACCTTGTCATTGGTCTTCTTATCCACGCGAAGTTAGCTACGGTATCCCGGAGAGGCGAGATCTTACCAGCAGGCAGAACTTCAAAGGGATTACTGCATATCTGTATGCATACGGCATGGGTTCGCCCATTCCTTCCACGGGACGTCCTTGGCGCGATGTTCGTGTTTTGAAATGCCGAGGTACAGCTGCACTATCAGTTACTTTTGAAGTGCCAGCCGTCTCAGAAATACGTTAGCTGAATGCCTGTATCCTTCTCGCCGCCGTCCAGCGGAGTGAAAGCTGTCGCCATTCCATGCAAGGAATTCCTTGCATTAGGATTTATCATATCACGACCGAACACATTCCAAGACCCGCCATCGGTGAAATCGTACCGAGCACAAATAGATGACTGAGCAGTGTACTGCATGGTGTTGGTGGCCACAGCTGTCAGCCGCCGCCCAGCCATGCGAATGGTCATAAAGATCGGTGTCAGGTCACGGACCATCATAGCACAGGGGTTAAACGTTACGGACCACCATTGCACATAGGTCAAAGGTGAAATGTCATGAGCGACACGTCTTGAAGATTTCGAATTACCAGTGGACTTAACCTACACTGACTACAAGTGACGGTGATCACACTAGCTCCTTCCGGGGTCCTGGATAGCACCACGGGCTGCGTCATGCGCCACCAAGCTAGCCATGGGACTGCGCTATCACTCGATAAAAAATGTCAGTTTTGTGCCCTCTCCACCGATCGAAAGTAGCGGCATCACGGTGGTAAACAGACACGGAGGCGCCGGCGCATGCTCCCGCCTTTGCACGTCATGGCTGGCCGCGCCCCTCCACCTGGAGAGGGTGACGTGCTCGAGTGTGGCCTCGAAGGCCGAGATGTGGGCCGCCGGGCGCCCCACCTCGTCTGCAGCCGCCAGACGGAGGACAAACCCGGGTCGGCCGACCGGCGGACCCCTGGATCGCCGCTCACCGGGATCGGGTCAGGTTTGCTGGATCTGGACCTGGCGCTAGGTCCGCAGGCCTTGGTGACGGTTGGCTCCAAGGTTTGCGATGTACGAAAGGAAGCGCATGGAGTTAACGGGAAGCTGTGGAAATATTCAAGAGATGCTTTATAACATTTGTATAATAAATTACATTTACCTTAATGTTTGAGCAACAATAATGGTAAAAACAATGATATTACCCATATATATATATATATATATATATATATATATATATTTATATATATTGTTACTCTATTGGATTTATAACGTAATGCATTTTTACCATCGGGGATATATTTTTAAAAGGTCACTTAAATTTGTACTTGCTTTGATGCCCAGGCGCATTTTGTGTTGACACCTCATACTGGCAAGGGAAGACAAACGTGAACGACGGGGTTCAAGACCACCCAGGAGAGCCAGGTTCCACTCCTGGCTGCACTCCCCGCTGACCAGTGTGTCAAGGTCGCGTGCCAGGCGCATTGGGTCAAAGCTAGCGTGCTGCCAAGAATGATGTGATCGGCACGAGGTCGCGCTTTTTGTTGAGATGGCTTTTTGTGTGTCCAGTTGGGCCTTGGTTTTCAACAAGCCAATCACGTGTATTTTCACCACCAGCGCTCCGTAGCTGTGCGATGGTTTCATAGACTCCTGTGGACAGGCTGTAAAAAGACACATTCGCAACAGCGTTTAGCGTAGACTGAAGAACACACTTTCATCTTAACAACACCATAGCCCACCATGGGTGGTGGATAGTGACGACGATGGGTCGCAGGTACGGACTCAGTCATCATTCGCCAACACATGTCAATCTGCCATGGAGCGGGGCCGGCAAAGGGCCAATCATTTGGAGGCCGAGTCTTTTTTGAAAGGTTTTTGTATCCAGCATTGTTGTGCAG